ATGGAAAAAGTTTAGGTTTTGTTTATTGAGATGACTAAGGTGTTCCACACGCTCTCCTCTCGGCCCTAATTTGCTTGAGAAAAGAAGTAAAGTTGAAGGTGAATTTCCACTCAGTTGTTCCTCGAGTTCCGCCCTTCGTCTCCACTCGCGCTTTTAAAACTGCTSTTGTTTCATCTATTTATATGTTGAGAATATCCTTTTATAAGGTCAAACGTTCCCGATCCTTTTATTATTGGAACAGCATAGCACCTATGTCAGCGTAGTCTCCCTCGCATCCGTTTTTAGTGTCGGTCGTCACGCAACGCTCCCTCCCCGCGTTGCGTGACGACCGACACTAAAAAAGGATGTGAGGGAGACTAATGTCAGCGAGAAACCTGGTAATTACGGTGTTGAYGTCAGAGTGGCGGATCCAGGGGTGGCGAAGGTGTGACTAGTCACCGTCCCCACATTCTAGTAATTTGCACAAATAATTTCTAATAAATGTGTTTATGACTGAATTTGAAAACATTTGTCTATATCAAGTTTTACTCGATTAACCTGAAGTTCTCAAAATTAATTTCCACCGATTTGAGTCTCCATTTCCCCCACCTTTTCCCCCGCATGTTAATGGTTTCCCGTCATGATACTGACGCAAGTTACCCTGTAACCGTCTATAGGTTTCACTGCTTGCGTCACATAGTGGCGTGGATTGGCCTCTTTGAACGGCTGTGACCTACCGTCAAATTTTTGAAACTGTCAAAAACGAGRAATATTATTGCCATATTCACAAAGAAATTACAATTTTGAATGAGAATGGTTGAHAAACAAAAAACAAAAAACAAGGGGGGAAATAAAATGAAAAGAAAGGAATGGARCTTCCGTAAGAGAAGAGAAGAGAAGAGAAGAGAAGAGAAGAGAAGAGAAGAGAAGAGAAGAGAAGAGAAGAGAAGAGAAGAGAAGCAAAAAGAGCGGAGAAAAGAAAAGAGCATCCAACAAAGAGGTCTGGCACTATCACGACAGACCACTGACCCACTCACACCGGGCTCATTTGATGGACATTAGTATTTTGTAATCCATGATTGAGTTCCCCTTTCRAAAACAACACAACTTTTGGGGCTAAAAAACATACGAATTATCCACAATGGATCCTCTAGGAGCAAGTTCAAGCGTCGTAGATATCACATCACTTCCTAAATGGTCGTCCACACCGGTGCCATTGTATCCTAACGCAGTGCAAGACGAGCAAAACTCTTTCCTACCAACACCATTTCCTGTCCGTAAAGACGTCAATGATAGGGTCACTCTATGGTAAAAAAAATATTTCCTCTATATACCGAGTATAATTTAGCTTTCTGTTGCTCCTAGAGTCTTAAATAGTGGCTTTAAGTTTAGTACTGGAAGCTGCTTATTTTATAAAGRTATGGTTACCGTGATTTTGAACTTTCGAATCTGTCATAGGCTCACGTGACTTCGAGCTAAATGATAAAAGTATGTTCAGTCAAAAAATCATTGTTGTCGTAATTTCTTAGATATCTCGCAGAAAAATGGTTCGTGTAAACCTTATGAGAATATCAACGGAGCTTTTTAAGCCAATACTTTTTAATTTTGCAAGGATTTCGGATTCTATATTWATTTGATAAAATGAACTACCAAGATGTAAATAGGACCAAGAATGTAAATGTGAATGTAACCAAAAACGTATCATACACTATAGGTAATTTGGTCAGTCACATATTATATGTGGCAAAGCAGTTTCGTATCAAACAAGGCTATTGTCTTTTATAGCACTAATTGTTATGTTTCTACAAAACACATTGAACTTTTGGCATCTCTCCATGAGTAAACAACAAGTTTTGTATTTTTTCCACCATTGTAAAAAACCCTGGAAATGCTCTGGATTGATCTATGAAGTCAGTTATTGCATGATTAAGTCAGAAATTAAACCCTGAAACAACCTCTTGGCTGATCCAAGTCAGGGCACAGCTAACTCACAGATCAAACCCTGAAACATCCTCTTGGCTGATCAAAGTCAGGGCACAGCTAACTCACAGATCAAGCTCTGGAACAACCTCTGGGCTGATCTAAGTCAGGGCAGGACTAACTTACAGATCGAACCCTGAAACAACCTCTGCGCTGATCTAAGTCAGGGCACAGCTAACTCACAGACCAAACTATGGAACAACCTCTTGGCTGATCTAAGTCAGGACACGGCTAACTCGCGGAGCTAACCCTGAAACAATCTCTGGGCTGGTCTAAGTCAGCACATGACTGATTGATGGAAGCCAAAAACCAAGCAATGACAGTCGTCAAAGCCTTTCTTTTTTCCCCATACCAGGTGTGGTGACATCACTAGCCTTAGAGCAACAGCTATCGTAAATACCACCAACGAAAGCTTGAGTGACAAAGGGGAGCTGAGTCAAAGAATCCACAGCGCTGCTGGGCCAGAACTGCTTATAGAATGCCGACAGCAATTAATAGGTATTAATAATCTCTAATAATAATCAACATCTAAAGAGTTTTAAAAATGTATGGAATTAGTTTAAATGCGATAATAATGAAAATGATAATAATAACACAATAGGATAATAATAAGATATTACCAATTATCAATGAATTATGTTATAATATACACTATACAATTTATTGGAGCTTTATGGAAGAGAAATATGCTATACTGCAGTCATTTAGGTACATTATTTACCACCCATTCGTTACAAAAATAAATTGATGATAATATTGTTTTTACTTTATTGAAGGTTGTAGAACTGGTGAAGCTAAAATGTCTGAAGGTTACAACTTACCCGCAAGGTAAAGAAAAGGTTTTCTGCCTCCTTTAGAGCGTAGATTGATCTCAGTTCACCTCACCCAACAGTGCACAGTATAAAACTAAGACCAGTCCTGGTAAAATAAAGTTTTCTCCCTCCTTTAGAGCATAGATTGATCTCAGTTCACCTCACCCAACAGTGCACGGTCTAAGACTAAGACCAGTCCTGGTAAAATAAAGTTTTCTCCCTCCTTTGGGGCGTAGATTGATCTTAGTTTACCTTACCCAACAGTGCACAGTGAAAAAAAAAGAAGAAATTTGAAAATTTTAATTTTCTTATCTTACCTGTAACACTTAAAAATGGAAACAAAAATAGTTTTCCTAAATTTTTTGTCATGACCATATTTACTTGTTTAAGTGCCGTGGCGCTTAATACATGCTTTTGGTTTAATATGCAGGGTTAATTCAGGAGTGGCATTTATTCGAGGGTGGTTTKTTTTTTTTTTAATGTGTTTACCATATCCTGTACGTAATGTGTTGCCAATGATTTAATACAAAATGACATACAATAATGTTCAGAAAATACAAATTACCAATGTGTTTTTTGTATGGATGAAAGGGGCACTTTTTCCGGGGCAGCGCTTAATTAGTGGCATTAGGTGCAGCGCTTATTTGAGCCTGGTAGAATTTAATTGTTGGGCAAGTGCTGGTCAACAGTCGGCCGACTATCGACCAACAGTCGGACGATATTCGACCAACACGTGTGGGCTGGTCATGAAGTACACGATTACCATAGTTACTGTAAGGTAGAATAATCCATACATTAAAAGAGTTTTTATTTTATTTTTAGATATGTGATTCATACTGTTGGCCCTCGATACAATACTAAGTACAAGACAGCAGCTGAGAGTGCATTGTTTTCATGTTATCGTAATGTTATGAGGATTGTAAGGTATTACTTTATGTATATATGTATATATATTGATACAATAATACCGACAGTGCTTCTCAGTAGCACATACTAAATTGTCGTCATGACAAAGATATTGTTGGATGTCAATCAAGACGTTTCCATGACATTCTATAAACTGCCATGTGCCCATAAAACTTTGTCTCTTTTCATGACGATAATATCATTACACTAAATGAATGCAAATCATTTTCTTTCTGTCTTTCTGTCTGTACATCTGTCTGTCTGTCTGACTGACTCTCTAGATGCCCTGATCAAGGTGTTGGAAGAGCTGGGCTCATTTTCTGTCAGTGCGTCAGAACTAAAGCAGATGATAAGTCTGTTGCATAAGTTGGGTAATTTATAGATATCATATAATTTTTTTTGACAACGTGGCTTTCTGATTATTCCTTCCAATTCCTAAAGGGAGAACAAGCTTGAGACTCTGGGTCTTTGTGTTATTAACACTCCTAAAAGAGGATACCCACCTGAAGATGGTGCACATATAGCATTACGTAAGTTTTTCCCCATAGCACTATGATTTACTGACAGAGGTCCTTAACTTGGCAAGCAGATCGCAAAATAGTCACCATTCATTATGACTGGCCAAATAAGTTTTAGCCCATCATACCTCATTTCTGGCTCAAACACCGCTGGTCTAAATGACCAGCAAGGCAAGGATTTGATTAGACAAGTTTCAATGGACTACTTTGACGATGCCTAGCAAGGTATTATGGGTCAAACAGGGGGAAAACAAAACAATGCTGATATAATGACCCCACAATATTTGAGAAATTTCATGGGGCTAAAGTAAATTTAGGCAAAGTTAAAGTCAAGGCACGCTGGGCCAGCAGTCTTCTTTATTAACACCTAAGTGCAAGAAGGTTGTCATAGAACATTAGTAATTTAGTGAGGAATACAGGAATACATTAAAAGACAAAAGAAAAAGTTCAGCTTCAGTGATCTTCTTTTGTTTTTTAATATAATTCCTATCCCACTAAATCACTAATGTTCTATTTTCGTATGACAACGTTCTTGCAAGTAGGTGTATTTATTATTGAAGCAATTGTCCATTTATACATGATTATAATCTCTGTGTCTTTAGGAACTGTTCGTCGATTTTTAGAGAAGTACACAGAGACGGTTGAAAAAGTTGCATTTGTAGTGGAGGGAGCCGAAGAGGTATACTGTAGTAACTTATTATTTTTACCAAATTGAATTATAACATAGCTGATAATTTTCATCAATCATTCAGGGTTTTCATTAAGTTTTCAAAGGGGAAGATTATGAACTGCTGGAGAGTCATGGGGCCCAAGTGAGCTATTAATGGTAGTTTAAGCCAGAGAATTTGGCTCAGTTACTGGAGTGTTCTCTGATCCCCAACCCTTAATGAAAACCCTGATCATTGATATCAAATAACATTTAATTATGTATTCTTTTCTCAGACTATTTATAGGAAAATTATGCCGATATATTTTCCAAGAAATAAGAATGAAGAAGACTATGTACTGAAGATAATGCCTAAAGATATTGGTGAGTTTATTACTATTATTGTTGAAGTGTGACCTGTGAGCAGGTGATCTTGCCTCAAAGAGCACAAAGGATTACTTGTCAAAGCAAACAGTTCCTAAAACCCAGTCTCCTATTTCATAATATCTCATGGTAATCAAAATGGCGGCTGGTGACTAATTAAGACAACACCAATTTTTTTCTTACTTTTATTGCATTTATGCTTTGTTTTTATTAATTTTAACTGCTCATAGGGCAAGGGGAAGCTTTTCTGGTACATGAAACATAAAAAAATTTTCAAGTAAAGTTAGAAGTTATAATTTCAAGACGTATTTTAAAAAGGTTAACTCAAAATATGTCTCCATTTTGAAATTCATCATGGAACTTTTGGTGATGCAATGAAAATGCTTCTGATTGGTTAATATTAACCGGAAATGCATGCGCAAGTTTGATGTCTCATTATCATTTTGCTTTTACTTCTACTTTCCTCAGCTACACATGGATTTCATAAAAATCTAATTTTAATTTTGCATTTCATTCCTAAATTGAAAGGTAACGAAGAGGGAGAACCTATTATCCCAGAGCGACAGATCAGAATCAGCGACACTCTAGCCTCAACAGACAGGGATGATGATGATGAAATTGAACAAGCAGAGGACATGTTAGATATTCAAGAAATGCATGTTGGGCAGCATGCGTTTGCAGCGATGCAGGGTGACCATGATCAAATGTCTCGACAAAGAGCACATAGATCGCCAGAAGAGATGCATGTAGCTGAGCGACAAAGAATGTGAGATTTTTAAAGATTTGTGATATTTTGATTGCATATCTGTCAGCATGCATTTGCAGCTATGCAGGGTGACCATGATCAAATGACTCGACAAACGGAGCACATAGATCCCTGGAAGGGATGCATGTAGCTGAGTGATAAAAATTAATATTCAGGGTTCATGCTACTCCTTGAAATCCTTGAAAACTCCTTGAATTGAAAAAACGTTTTAAAGGGCGCTTGAAAAGCTCTTGAAAATAGAGAAAACGCCAAAACTCCTGGGATACTCCTTGAATTTAATGCAAACATAATGATATTTTTAACTTTTGTTTTAAAATATAACGATTAAAATTGATTGAAAAGTTTGCGTATATATTTGCGTATAGCCTAGCTGAATATCTGGGTACTTCTGGTAAGAATGCATATATTAAAGATCTATTTATCTAAGCTAGTGGCCCCGGCTGAATTAGCTGCACTGTAACATTGAATCAATGCTTAAACCAYGTTCTAATACGAAAACCTTTGTCTTTGAAAATCGAATTTTTGTGCTTGAAAAGTGCCTAAAAAGTCCTTGAATTTTGTAACGAAAATGTAGCACGAACCCYGAATATTATTAATTAAAATTAATTAATTATGTAATGTTTTTCATGTCTCATTTCTAGATATCAAAGATGGCTTCGCAGAGCTCATACTGAAGACTTCTCTGCATTCAGACAGCAAAAGATGCTCTATCAATCAGGTTAGACTTTCAAATCTAACACTATCACTTTGAAAATAATGAAGAGAAGGGTGCAGTAGTTTAAATCCTTTTAACTCTCATATTTAGGTTTCATTTCCTTAAATTCCTTGGATCACATAGGATTAGAATTTTTTAGGCTTTCCATTTTCCTTAGAGGGTTTTTCAACAGAAATATCCAGTTTTTCTCTCTCCCAAAAGCTAAACATAATGATGAATGAATTCCAAGTTCATCTGTGAGTTGGCAGTGCCTTGAGGTTGATCGGCCCATGCAGAGCTTGTTTCCTGGTTGATCTGCAAGTTAGCCATGCCCTGATTTAGATCAGCCCAGAGCTTGTTTCCTGGTTTATCTGTGAGTTAGCCATGTCCTGACTTAGATCAGCTAATAGGTTGTTTCAGGGTTCAATCTGTGAGTTAGCCTTGCCCTGACTTGGATCAGCAAGAGGTTGTTTCAGGATTTGATTTCTGACTTAACCATGCCCTACATAGCTGACTTTGCCTGAGGCTGTTACAGTATTTTGATTACATTTGAAGAACATTCCAGTGGTCTTTGTTGCTCTTTCCCTCAGTTGGGGTAACTGAACTTGACCTCATGTTTATGTACTTTTTCTTTTCAGGCGTTGATTTTCTTGGACGGCCTGTTGTGGTTTTTGTGGCACGGCATTTTAATGCTCAGTCATCTGATCTAAGCAAGGTAACAATATAGCATGTTCTATTAAATGATTGTTGTTCATGTTTCATTGATCGTAGAACTATAGCACTGCTCACCCCCAACCAACGAGAAAACCCTCGTAGCATATAGGAGAGAACAACACATCAAACAAACTCAATTCACATGTGGCGACCGCAGGGCTCGAACCAGCGACCCAACCTGTTGGACTCACAGCGGTGAAAGATGACGCATTAGCCACGAACTCCACCCGTGCTTCCCATACCCATCCCATGCTATTTATTATGTAGTAGTAAATAATTTTTCATTTATTTTAAATTTCAGGCTGTTGCATATTTTGTTAATGTTCTGGACAAAATAGTGAATAGAGAGTATGTTGTGGTATATTTCCACACACACAGTGCCGTAGAAAACCAGCCGCCACTGTCATTCCTGAAGGATCTGTATCACATAGTTGATCACAAGTGAGAAAACGATGAGATTTACTGCCCAGGAGGTTCAGATAGGGAAAAACTGTGCCCAATGTCTTGAAAATATGGACGGAGGCTGTTAAACTGAAGTCCGTTTTCAAAACCGAGGGTACAGATTTTCCCTATCCGGACCGACTTTAGCATACCAGTAAATAACTTAATTAATCTTTTCCTATTTACTTAATTTCTATTTGTTTCGCATTTGTTTCATTTTCTAACAATCTGTTTTCCCATGTGTGTGCTTGGATGACGTTAGCCTTACATGAGGATACACGGCCGCAGGCAGAGATAGGGAATACCACCCCCTCATTCAGTCAATCACAATGCACAATTTTTTAGATACCGAACTGGAAAAAAATAAAAATCCTACATTTTTTGTCAGAGAAAACATTTGTCATCTCCCATGGAATTGGAGAAAAATTCCAAGAAATAGGGAGGGGTCTAGATGGGGTATGTACATGTATGTGTGGCTACCCATGCATCAAGAGAGATCACTTAGTGATCATGTACTGCCATTCAGTTGGAACTGTGCGGTACCCCATGAAGGGGTGGGCAGTTAAGGAACTTTATTTAAAAGGATTTTCCTGATGTACAATTTTGTCTTTATATGTGGTAATTATAAAATATTTATTGTTTCATCTTCTTGATTTTCTGTAGGTATCGGCGTCACCTCAAAGCATTTTACATTGTCCATCCAACACTTTGGGCCAGGGTGGTGACGTGGTTCTTTACTACCTTCACGGCATCAAGTATTAAAGATAAAGTTCATTTTATTTCTGGGATACAGTATCTGTACGACTGGATTAATCCTGATCAACTGGATGTACCTGCTTTCGTACTGGAACATGACATGAAGGTTTGTATGAAAATGGCTCTTGATATCAATGCTGCTGCTGCTGCTGATGATGATGGTGTTGGTGATGATGATGTTAATGATGATGATGTTAATGATGATGATGTTGATGACAATGATGATGATGATAATGAGATGTTAATGATGATGATGATGGTGTTGGTGATGATGATGTTAATGATGATGATGTTGATGACAATGATGATGATGATAATGAGATGTTAATGATGTTGATGATGATGATGATGATTATGAGATGTTAATGATGATGATGATGGTGGTGGTGGTGATGATGATAATATGACGAAGTTGATTGATGTTAATATTGGGGATGATGATAATGATGGTGATGGCGTTGGTAATGATAGTGGTGATGAGACGATGACGATATCTATTGATGATGATGAGATGATGAAGTTAATGATGGTAATATGATAGTGATCATGATGGTAATGATGTGATAGTGGTGGTGACAGTAATGATGTTGATGGTGATGATGACGATGATGATGATGATGATGGAGGTCATAGTTGGGATGATAATCCTGTTTGACTGGTTATGTTAAAAAACGACCCTTTGACAATATTTATCTAATATTCAAACTGACAAAATGCTGTAATAACAATTTACTGGTTGTTTTTTCACAGGAAAATGGAACAAATTATCACACCCCGACATCAAGTTACCATACAGGAAGTCTTTAATTTTTAAGATCCTTATAAAATTTCTCCTAATTTTCTGAATCCATGTGACACTTCTAACTATTAAAGTTTTACATTGTGTAGAACTGCAGAAATTATCCATACCCACCCCCCCCAACAGAGGAATTTGGAATTTGTGAGGGGTCGGGGACTGGTTGTCAAAGAAAGAACAATATTACAGAGTTTGTATGGAAGAAAATTGGAATTTGCAGGGGTGGGGGCTATTTAAAAAAGTTCCTCTTTGGGGTGTATGGCTTATTATTTCTGGAACTACACGTTCTTTAGAAAATGTCATGATTACGAAACAAATTCAAATCAAATGATAAGTTTTCAAAATTAGTAAAATGGAAAAAATGTATGAATTAAACAATATTTGGCTACTAATACCTGCAATAATGCTTAAGCAACATCATCGTTAGGTTGCGTGATTGAGGTGCTGTTACTCAGGGAAAGTTAGAAATGAAGCTTGTGTTGAATGAGACAACTTTCACGACGCACCAGTTTTGCATTCAATGTTTTGGAAGACCAATTTGCACAGGCTTAGCCTCATTTATATATCAGCTATTCACAGGTACCATTTAATGTCTGTTGCATTTCAAACCATTGGTATTGTTCAAGCTGCACATTCTTTACATTACAGATGACTTTTGCAAAATTTGCAAATGATTTGCTCTTAAGCGAAGCTAAGCCTGCGCAGATGAGTCTTTAGTCATAAAACACAGTGATATTTACTGAATGAGAAAAGGGACAATAATAAGCAGCAAGCAACCAGCTCCTCATCTTTTTTACCAAGAAAGTTTCACAATATTACAAGTATTTATGCTACTTGTTTTACAGTCACCATGGATCTTTATCACACATCAGCCATGTTGACAGTAGATGTCCCCCACACAGCCTCGTATTTAAGCCCTTTAGGATAAGATCATGTGGGGTTAAGCAAAGTTTCTATTTTCATAGCCATGGGGATAAACATAGTRCCATTGCACACAAGTTTTAGCTTAGTATTTCACTGCGTTTATGTTCTAGTTTTCAAGGTTAAATGAAAGTGGTGTGGAAATGATGTACTGGAAGTGATGTACTGTACTTGTAATTTTTTTCTCCATTGACATTTTTCTTGAAGTTATTTTTACATCCAATGTGAACACGATGGACCAACGAAATTGGAAAATGAGAGTTGAAGTTCTCATACAGCGATTATTATTTTTGGAAAGAAATAAGCCTTCGAAGTTTTTTGTGGCGTTTTTTTCATCAATCACAATAATGACTAGCCTCCTTCGCAGCTGTTCTTAGGGTCGTCATGCAACGTTCTTTTTGTGGGAAGGGAAACGTTGCGTGAAGACCCTAAGAATGGCTGCAAAGGAGGCTAAATAATGACTGACATAATTTAAAATAACCTTCTGTAAATTTTTTTACAAATAAGCAAAATGATAGAGCTAAATTTCGTTATAGAATATAAAATCAGAATTAGATGAATCATGTATACCCATATTTAAACGGCAAACTGAAATTCTCAATATTAATCAATTGAGTCCTGCTGTTGTACTGTTGTATTTTATTGTAGTTCTAAGCTTTGGCTGTCTACAGGTATCGTCCGGGTGACAATGATAAAATGTTTATACCGCACCAGAAAAAATACAATAGAGAAAAAATATATTTCTATAGATATGATTATGATAATAAAAGGAATTTCAAAACATAAAATGAAGTTGATGGTTATTAACCTGAGAATGATGGTTCTTTTGTTTTAAAGAGAAATGCTGATTGTTTGACTCTATGTTTATTCAGTTGTCATGGGATACTTGACCTTGTTTATTCAGTTGTCATGGGATACTTGATCTTGTTTATTCAGTTGTCATGGGATACTTGACCTTGTTTTTAGTTACCATGGGATACTTGACCTTGTTTTTAGTTACCATGGGATACTTGACTTTGTTTTCAGTTACCATGGGATACTTGACCTTAGTTTCAGTTGTCATGGGATAATTGACCTTATTTTCAGTTTCCATGAGATACTTCACCTTAGTTTCAGTTGCCATGGGATAATTGACCTTAGTTTCAGTTGCCATGGGATCCTTGACTTTGTTCAAATTGGAATTAAATCATATCAGTTCCCAGTTACCCAGCTCCTTGAGTAGTTTTTTTGTTCTTTAGCCTTTGGCCCTTTTTTGTTGGTCATAGGATTTTCTGAATTAACTTTAGTACAGGGACAGAGGAGCACCCTAAAAAGTGTGGGGTTAAGATTAGAAAATATAAGAGACTAGCATGGGAAAAAGTGGGGGCTAAGATTGGAAAATATAAGTAGTATGGAAAAAGTGGGGGGAAAAGTGGGACCCCTGTAGTGGACAGAATACAATGTCTTTGTTCATTCGCTGCAATTTTTCAAGTTAGTATGTTGTTTTAGCTCCAGGGTTTAGCAAATTCAAGGAAGTTCTAAGTATTGAAATATAAATTATTACCAAGACTTGAATATACTAATAATTCCAGAAAATAAGTAATGGTTGGCTGGCAATGGCCCTAACTTCAAAATCCTGATTAACGACATTTTTCTCCTGAGAAATATGCAGAATATTTTCCCCTGTCAAATTCATATTTACCGCAGTAGAGCTGGGTTTTCTGTCCAACCGGAAACGGAAGTAAATATGAACTAAACACACTATGATAATGACCAATCAGAACCCACTGCATGTCATTAGCGCGCCAAAAAAGTTGTTCCATTCTGCGCCATGTGACACCACTTTGCTGTTTTGACCGAAGAGAAGAGTGTTGTCCCTCTTTATATTTTCTCAATAAATCCTCATATTTTTGACCCATTTAGCGCTAGTTTGCATTCAAGATGAAACGCAAGGACCGCCCTTCCAGTTCCAATGCCACTGAAGAGCGCAGGAGTAAGAAAACCAAGAAAACAGCGGAGGCAGAAGACGCGCAAGAAAGCGGCAAGCTTGACTACAGTTCACCAGAGAAGCTATTTTCTTCGCTTCTTTCTCCAACTACTGCAGAAGAGTTCTTCTCTGAGTACTGGGAGAAAAAACCGCTTTTCATGCAGCGCAAAGAACCTGAGTATTATGGGACTTTGTTCTCGAAGTCTGACTTGGATAGCTTGTTGAAGAAAGAGGAAATTCTGTTCGTGCAAGATTTAAATTTGTGTCGGTATGAAGACGGCAATAAGGAATACTTAAATGGGGATATAAATACAAAGGCAACTGCTTCTCAGGTCTCCAAAGAAGTGAAAGAACGTAAGGCTACTATCCAGTTCCATCAGCCTCAACGTTTTAAGGTATTTAGTAAAAAATACTATAGAACATGCTGCAATGCATTGAGAAAAATTTAATGGAAAGAAATGTAAAATGGGAAGAGTTGTTAAAAGGATGAAAGAAAAATACGTTGTGAGAATTTTTTGATTTAACAGGGACAGAGAAGCCTAATTTTGATTGGCGGAGCTCACGACTGTTGAAGGCGTGAACATCAGGGTGGTTAGGGGTCAGGCACCATCAAAAATGTTAAAACTGAGACCCTTGGAAGTGCAATTCCTAGTGTGTTTAGGGGCATTTTCAACATATTTATTGCATTTCCTATAGATGTTTTAAATTGCAAACAAGTAATTTGAAATATGGCATTAAAATTATTGGGGTGGGGGGGGGGGGGAATATAGCCCCCCAGTCCACTCCCCCTTTCCCCCACCCCACCTCTCTGTGGTCCCTGTTTAATTTTTGTTTTATTAGATTTAATACATTTTTTATATTTAATATTTTAATGTTGTTTCAGGATATCTTATGGCAACTGAATGCTCATTTGGAGAGTGTGTTTGGGTGTCTAGTGGGTGCTAATGTCTACATCACCCCCCCTGACTCTCAGGGATTGGCACCCCATCATGACGACATTGAGGTATGTTTCCAGCTCAGTAGCCAGAAGATTATTAACTTACTACTATATGGGACTTTGTTTTGAAACCAAATTTCATGGATAACTTGAAACAACCTTTGTTGCTGATCAGTCAGGCAGGGCACAGCTAATTCACAGAACAAATTGGAATTTAGCAAGGGAAGAAAATGGGAGAACCTAGAGAAAAACCCTTGAATCAAACTCTATTCACATGTAATGTCAAGTCTAATAATCGAACTTAAGACCCCAGAGATGAGAGGCAAATTTCCTACCATTACTGACCATTGCTATCAGATTGGAAATTTTATGAAATATTTCCTAAAAATCTATCAACCTCGAATATTTTTCTGTTTTTTTTAGGCTTTTGTTCTTCAACTAGAAGGTAAGAAACAATGGAAGTTATACCAACCCAAGTCAGAACTTGCTCAAGACTACAGCACTGATTTTGAGCAAAAAGACATAGGGGAACCAACACATGAAATTGAATTACAGGTAAGCTATTTGAATGGAAAAGGCTATTTATTGTGGACATAAATCAAAGGTTATACTTATCCATTTGTCTCATGATTGTGGCAGGAAAGAAAACATAACCAAACAGCATAGAGCACATGCAGTATGTGTGTGCAAAAAAAATCAAATTAATGATTCTTAAAACAGCATAAAAATTTTGAAAAAAGCATAAAAAATTATAGAAATAGCATCGAAGAGTGCTCATGATAGGGCACAGGAATTCCTTCTCATAGTTCATTTTTCTTGCCTTTATTATGAACGACTCGGCAAGTTATCATCTTTTTGTTTTCTAGGAAGGAGATCTTTTGTACTTTCCCAGGGGTACAATACACCAAGCCGTTACACCTAAAGGAAGTGGACACTCTACTCACCTTACCATAAGTACCTACCAACAAAGGTAAGAAAAATATAAAATACTGTATTTATCATAATGTTTCTGTCCTGAATACAAAAAAAGATTGATTATAAAATGTATTACAAATGAGAAAAAACTGGTTTAGAAAAGTGTTAATAGAGCTAGGATAGAAATCTGTTACAGTGTTTAAGGCTTGTCCAGTGAGTCACAATCATTGCCATTACATTCCCTACTCAATGAGGCATTAAAAAATCTCTGTATGAAGTCTTATGTAGTTATTTTTCAAACATCACTTATGTGCATGATTTATAATCCTTTCTGACCCACAGTTCATGGGGCAACCTAATGTCCAGCATCTTAACGGATGCCATCGACAAGGCCATGGACACTGATGTTGAATTCAGACGTGGTCTTCCAATAAACTATTTGAATTACATGGGATTGGGGATGGTAAGTTCATAGAGAATCAGATGATTTACCTTTTTTTATACAGAAAATTAGAGTGAAGTCACTAAACCTGTGAAATAGATATTAGACTAATACACTTTAGTGCACCCTTATTCCATTGTTTTCTGTGTCTATACGTTGACTAATATTTTTTATTTCATGGGTTAAATGCCTTCACTCTAACTCTTAAGCAACCACCCTCTCTTTAGCATAAAGTTTTCAAAGTTGTTACATGCATAGTACTTACAATAACAACATTATGTATATATAAGTCACACCTAGCATTTTATTGAAATACAGCCAAAAAATTATGAATAGTCAACTCCCCTTTGTAAAATGGCTAACGGTCTTAGAATAAATAGAGGGTAAAGATTTATTAAACACAAAATGTTTTTAACATACAGCCCTTTGATTCTGACTGATCGAATTAAATTTTCAATTTAAAATAATCATTCGAAAATTGTTATCGAAATAAGTTTTTGATTTCAAGAATCACGAAGGAAAAAGGTAGAATTGATATAATAATAATAATTTTACAGCATCAAACTCCTGGGTTTGCTACAGATAACCAATTATCACTTAATTTGATCAACACAATCAATTTCTATCACCAGAGACATTCTTATCTTCAAAATAAACACTTCATAAAATCATGACACTTCATAAAACCATGTTACCGTACTTATTCAAGTAATTTTTTAAATTTTTCTCGAATTTATTTTTATTTGTACACAATTAAAGGAAGGTGATGGGAAAGCGAAATCGAAGCAAGAAGACTTTAACAACCAAGTCAAACACTTGCTTACACGCTTAGCAGACTACGTGGACGCTCATGGGACAACAGACAAAGTAGCGACTGATTTTGTGTTTAACAGACTACCTCCTTACGAGCAGAAGGTAGAAGCCACCCGAGATCAAGGTACTTATATCATTTACGAGGAATATCGTTTAGTGGTTTAGACTTTCACAAAGTCCGCCGCCTCGTCGATCGATCGCTGCTCTCAAAAATTTGTCTCAATATTCGCTCGAGAAAAAAACTCTCGCTTGAGACAGAGAGGTCGACTTGATCGAGGCAAGTCTAATAGGATTTGGTGTAAAAAATGTATGGAAGATCTTAGAGCTTAGGATGTGTGCCTAACATGAATTTTTTTTGCTTCGTTTTAACCTGCAAATACGTAGTCCAAATACTTGCTTGTTTGGGGCTATATTCCGCAGAAACAAAATCTTTAACTAGAAATGTTTGTAGTTTTGTGTTGCATACCTTCACAGAGAAAAATCTCTCAATGCCTATTTTAACGTAGATTGTTCTATGTATTTATTTTATTTTTAGAAATTTGCCCCGCCGATAAGGCAGGGCGACAAAAAATTGGTCTATAGACTCATTGAGTTGTTCCCCTCCACGGAAATCTTTAGTAAAAGGCGAAAGATTTATGCGATCTGAAGGGAAACCAGAGTACCTGAAAATTGAAATCCAAAAAAGGGGGCTATCATCGCGACTTCTTATCACATGTGGGATGCATTGAGTGCATCGTGATTGGTCCTTGGTTCTATGGTTTGTTCTATTGATACGCTACTACGCATGACAGAATGTTTATTCACCAACTCCGACATTCGTAATTCGAGAAATGAGACTATCTTAAGCAAAATCTATTTGGTTTGATAGTTCAGATAGTTCTTTAACTTTAAGCTTTTTTAGATAACCTCAGATTCTTTCCAAAGCATTGTATTTTCTTGATGTAACGCTGTTCGTGTGACGTGACGCGTGACAACCCTCGTGGTCTTTTATCGGAATTCGTTTTTATTTGAATTACATGATCACGTGTTAGAGATGATTCAAGCATTGGTTTAAAGGAAAGTTTTTATTATCAGTTTACGTTGGAATGTCTACTTTTTGAACCAATATGGGCATGACTTGCTACGTTAAAGGAAACCATTGCACTCCCTCGAAAACATGGAAATATACGAAAGTTACTTTTTCATCGCTTAAAAATTACGTTTTTATTTTGTATCAATAAAGGGACAATGCCAATCCTTTTTATGCTCGAAGAATTACAGTTCTTCGTTGCTCGACGAGTGTAGATCAGTAGATCAGTAGATATCTCTAGCTCAATAATCTCAAAGATAAAATGTGTGTTGGTCTTCCTGTGGTTTACATTAAGGAGCCCATAGAATAAGGGACGGACCATTAGATTTGGAGTGGGGGGGTTTGTGCAGGAATTTTTTTACGGCCCATGGCTGTGCAGGAATTTTTTTCTGGCATTTTCCTTATGCACGGTTTTTTTCACTCTTTTAAACTGTGCTCGATTTTTTTTTTTTTTTGTTTTTTGCCCAAATCCATCCCTCAAAAATCTAATGGTCTGTCCCTAAGTCTATAGCTTTTTTTTCTGTCCAATCAATAGGCGAGAGCGAAAAACCACCGACAGCAGACAGCAAAGTGAAATTCCGCTATCCCGAATATGTTCGGATTTCTGTCGGAGATGCGGATAATATTCCTATTGGCGTATTCGAAGCGGGACAAGATAGCGACGATGAAAATGATGAAATGTCTGAAGAAGGAGAAGAAGAACCTGAGGTAGAACTTGGTATTTTCAATTCCTTTTTTTATATAGAAAACTGGCGCTTAGGGTTCAAAATAGGCACCCAATTTTATTGATTCAGGTGGTGGGTACTCATGAATAATGACTACCCATCCTTCAGAGATCTGGGATTGGTTGTACGAAGCCTGAATAACGCTATCCAACGGATAAATCTTATCCAGTGGATAAATTTATTGGATAACAGCATCGACTTATCCACTGGATAAGGATTTATCCACGGGTTGGCGCTATCCAGGTTTCGTACAACCGGGCCCTGCTAAAATGCTCGAAAAAGTTTGTCCGTAAGTGAGCATTTCTATACATAAATACGTTGTTTAGCATCCCTACAAACAGGCAATACATCCATTTTTTGCTATTTGACTTAGGTTTCCAGATATCTGAGTAAAAAAACAAAAACAAACAAAAAAACAAAAAAAACAAAAACAAAAAACAAACAAAAAAAAAACCAGGATTTCATTTCCAGAGTCGTTGCATACACAACCTTCCCCTCTAAATCGGTTTCCTTAAGATGGCAATTGTTTTGACCTTATTTCTTAAGTTTCTTGCGACTGAACAGAGTAACAACAGACTAGCTGTTGCCTTTCTTTCAAGTCGCGCACGAAATCGTACAACTTGCGTCCCGAGGAAATAAGTTTTGGTGGACACCCAAAACATTTCAAGAGCAAGTGCCTATGGAATGTTATGGAAACGCCTTAATTGACGTCCACCAAAACTGAGCCTTATTTTCTCCTCACGGCTAATAGGCCCTTTGCAGTTCAGTAATCACGTGCTGATTAATTCACTGAGAGCAAATGAATGAACATCTTGATTTCCMTGGGTGAAATATACTGGTGAGCAAAMAAACTTTCTACAACCTGTTTCGAGAGATCGTGATAAAAATACATTTCGTGACACACTGGTTACACATCGTTTCTTTCAGTTCTTTACAAGTAGCTAAAAAGAATCACCAATAAAAAAAAAATTTGCTTACCAGTACAGACAAGTGACCGTTAACTGCAAAGACCTATTGTACGATTTCGCGCGTGTGATTTGAAAGCATTGTAGGAGAATAACAAACTATTACAAAAATTTATTTTTGCATGTCATTTTTATCTCTCATAAAGGATGAATCCATGGAAGAAAGCGAGGAAGAAGAGAAACCCAAGAAAAAAGGAAAGTCCAAAAAGGAAACAGCAAAGCAGAAGGTAAAGAAAGGGAAAAAGAAACAGAAGGACGAAAGTGAAGAGGAAGATGAAGAAGACGAAAGTGAAGAGGAGACCAAAGGCAAAGCTAAAAAAGGCAAAGGAAAAAGGGAAGAGAAAAAGGGAACGAAGAAATCCAAGGAAAAGAAAAGCAAGAAAGGGAAGAAGGAAGAAGAAAGTGAAGAAGAGGAGGAAGACGAAGAGGAATCAAGCGAAGAAGAAAAGCCCAAATCCAAGAAAGGCAAAGCTAAAAAGGATGCGCAGAAAAAGAAAACCGAGAAAGGAAAGAAGAGTGAGTGTCTGTTAATCCACTTCTTGTTTAATGTATATAATGTTGTCTTGTAAGTATACAAGTGTGGGTGTGTGTCGGGATGGGAGGGGAGGGGGGAAGGGCTCACGGAGAGAATGAGACCATTCGCCTGCCCCTCATCACGATTGTTTGCTTATTTATTTTCCTTTTTTCTAAATAAATCAAATAAATAAATGGAAAATGAGGGTGTTAAATCAACCAACATGGTGGCTGTTTCATTGTTATTTATATCAAGATTTTGAGTCATGTGGTTGCACCCCAAGAATAGAACTAAACAGTCGCAGTTTTCATTTACCTTCTTTCTTCCCTCTCATTTTTGTTGGTGGCGTTGCGAGCTCTTCTTCAGTCAAGTTATCAAATGAGTATTCCGGTTTTGCGTCTACATATCTACGCTTCGCAAATGGCTTTTCCTCGACTTTAATATGCTCTGACAAAGCTAACACTGCTTGGCGCAAATTGTCTTTAATTCTTTCAACGGATTTTTTACCCAGGCAAGAAAAAATCGGAAAGTGAAGACGACGAAGATGACGATGAGGAAGACAAGAGTTTTGATATTGGTGAGCAAGACACTGGAGAAGACAGTGATGACGAAGATGAGTCTGATGACGATGATGATGAGGGTCCATGGGTTTACGTACATCATTCTCTTAATAACATCAGAGCTAGTCACATGATGAATCCACAGGAGGTAAGTACAGTTGAACTTCACTAAAAAAAACACCCGACTTTGATCCAAGCGGAAGGTACCCACGTACTCGAGGTACYTCGTTTTAGCATTTCCCAATTACACGCACCCACGCCATCGAGGCACCTTGTTACAACATATCCCAATTACACGCACCCATGTAATCGGGGCTCCCTGTTAGAGCATTTCCCAATTACGCGCGCGAAATCGTACAATTTGCCGTTGCGACGAAGTAGGTTTGGTAAACGTCAATCAAGGCGTTTCTATGACATTCCATAGGCACGTATCCTTAAAAACTTTGTGTTTTCCGACCGTACTAATATAGAAACATTTTGATTGAAGTCCACCAAAATTTTATGTTGTCGTGACGGCAAATTGTTACGATTCTGCGCGTGCTGGAGAGACACTAAAGTGAAGGACGATTCGCAACGACGATTTTTCACGATACACCGTTGCGCAAAAAAATTGATGCCCTGTAACATGCCACGTACAACGATTTTTGGACTCGGTAACGCGTTGAAAGTTTTTGATTCAGTTTCAAAAACTCGCAACGCGCAATGGCGAAGTCTCTGCAGTTGATTCTTGTAACAGCTCCATAAGAAAAACCTTTTCTCTTTTTTTTTTCAGCCTTCAGTACTGAAGTTTGCAATCTCGTACAAGGACGCACTGCTGCACTTGTTCCATAACCGCTATGATTTTATTCCTCTGAAGAGTCTTCCTCTTAAAGAACCCGAGAGTTTATATCTTATAACCTCTCTGTGGTCAGAAGGGTTGATAAAAATCAAGGATTGATGACAAACCAATCATGATGCTTGTTAGTTTTCTGTGTTAAAACCAGTTAAAATGTTTGTTAGTTTTTTACGTTACGAGAACTAAGGACCCAATCAGAATGTTTGTTACATTTGTAGCGAAAATTAAGGAACCAATGAGAAGGTTTGTACCTTGTTTATTTTTTCTTGAGAAAAGATTTTTGTGAGAACGAACTAGAGGATCAATAATATTTGGTGAAACTTTACAGGAAACTTTTCCAAAGGTAGTCCAAGTTTTTTTGTGTAAGTCAAGAAGCAAAAAGTTTTGATTTCCATTGTTAGACATAATACTTGATGTACTTTGTTTCGTTTAGTTGTTCATCCACCACAACCTCATGTTCTGTTAAACAGGCGAGATATGTTTATCTTAGCCTGCGTTGCTTGAAGGTCTGCGGCTTTGCGAAGAAGGGGAAAGGCAAGAGAACACGAGAAAAACCTTTCCTCTTATCTTCATCCACAATACCGCAGACAGGCGTCAACGCAGGCTAAGTTTATCTGGAAGGGGTTTTCTAATAAGGGAGATATTAGCAAAAACAAGAAAGATAAATTTATAAGATATAAAGAGGTAATAACAATTGACATATAATGCTGACAATTTGTCAATAAAACATTAACATGGTTTATATCGAAATGTTTTCAAATTGAGTTTATTAAAATATCTTTCATGGAATAAAATTTTGCGTTGTTCCTACGTATTTATCTTCGTATTTACTTTGAAAAATTCTGCGGTTTTGGATGCACTTCGACATCCAACGATTCCTTATGCTGTACCAGCAGTTTTACATGTTGTGCACAATTTCTCCGCTTCTGACTTCTGACAGATTTTCTTTTCTCAAAAAGCAGCACTTTTAACACTGAAGTTAGACCAGAAAACATCACATTTGCTCATTAAAAAAGCCATTGTGCACATCCTGTGCTATATCAACTATAAAACCATATGCGTTGAGGTTGCGTTACTGCGGTTTTCGATATTCTGCGAAATCAGACACTTTAACGGCTTATGAAATTGCTTTTTTTTTATTGCCGCAATACAAGAACATAAAAGGTACCGACTACTGATTACGGCAGCGAAAAACCAAATTTTAGCTTGCAGCTTGTAAACCATCGAGTTCTGACGAACGGTCCTAACATTTAGGCCCCGTCCACACTATGCCGGATAAATTTGAATCCGAATTTTCACACCGAAACCGAAAAAAAAGTTTTCCGTCCACACTAATACGGCTAGCCGGCGTTTTCAAATTGTTCCACTCTGGAGACCGTATTCGAAAAAAATCGTTTTCGGTGAATCGCCCGGACTAGTGTGGACGGTGGGCCTAACCGAATAAATAAAAATTCGGATTCAAATTTATCCGGCATAGTGTGTAACATAAATACCACTAAATACTGCTAAATACTGCTAATCCTATCACAGTTAGCCCAAGCTTGGTTTCTGTGGTGTCGTGTTATAAGAAAAATGTATGGGGATTCATTAAAAATTTCAATAAAATCATTAAAACGTGAAATAAAGCCTCGAAATTTTACCCGATCATTGAGAAATAGCACTTCTTTCGCTCTGTGTGGTTATTTTTTGAATTTAGCCCGTTTTAAGGATTTTTTCGAAAGAAGTGCTATTTCTCAATGATCGGGTAAAATTTCGAGGCTTTATTTCACGTTTTAATGATTTTATTGAAATTTTTGATGATTCCCCATACATTTTCTTATAACATGACACCACAGAAACCAAGCTTGGGCTACCTGTGATCCTATTGTTTTCTATTGTTTAATTAGCATTTTACCACTAAATAGTGCAAAGTGTTGCACACTTTTAGTGTTTGTACTCTAGTGTAGACGGGGCCTTAGATAACAGTTTAGCCAGCCATGACAAATAGTCTCAATGTTTCACCTTACAAATGTTGGTCAAATGTTGGGACCATTTTGTCAGGGCCTTTATTGACGTATTTCTTGAAAGAAAAACCCTGATGTTAAACTGTTTCTTTATCAGCGTATCAGGTCAACAGGGTGATGAGTGAAGAAGAAAAGAAGTTTGAAATTTAATTAGCAATTGTGTCGTTTATTTTATTTTGATCCCAAGATTTGACATTGTATTTAAATTGCTAAAAGGCGCGATAAGTTAACCTCTAAGGTAAGTTTTATGGTAGAATTGTATCCTACAGATTATAAAACTTTAGCTTTAAGCTTCTCTCAAGTTTAGGACTAAAATTCACTATTCTTTGGATGCATGTCATATCCTTAGTTTTGGCTTCTTTTGTTAATGCCAACCAACGTGACGCGCACCAACCTAACTCTTTTGTCCTCTTATTCTATTAAAAATGCAAAGGCAGATAGACCCTGCCATTTGAGTTCTAATTCTTTGATTGAATCGATCCTTGTATCTATAGCATGGTCGAAATAAAACCTATCAATATCATCCTAAAATGATTTGCAGACTTATGGTTTATAGACTTAGAACTAAGTTTCCAATTTAGATGTCGTCTACCATTAGCTGAAACTATTGATTTAAAAGCTGCTATAAAAATCATAAGTTTATAGGCTGTTGCTGTTCTGACTATTTCTCCTGATTAAGAGAAATGCCTGTTTTTATTTTATTTTATTGAAATCCATGAAATATAAAAACCACCATGTTGGTTATTTTCCCACTGCCATCCAACATGGCGGCCAATTCTTTAGTCTTTATTCTCATAACTATGCATCTAGATCGGTAGTTAAGCGTTTTTTCTAGCGGTTTATTTCGTGGTTAAAGAAAACCATGGTCTTGGTGCGATCATAAGCGGAGATGCTGCTTTAGAAGTCTTGGGATGCTAGAGGTCGGCGCTGTTTGTTTCTTCAGGAAGACAGCAACAATCGACCAACCGTTGCCACCAAAAAAACCACAGCCGACGTGACTGCTTGTTGAATGCCAGGAATGAAATGGTTGAGATAGTAAACAAGGCAGAACTAAGGTAAGAGATGATGAACGTGTTGGCGTAGGCAACACTTTGATATTTTTCTGTAATGAAAAGATTGATTGAAATATTAGTACTATTGGCTTGAGAACGAATTTATAACAGTAGCGGACCGAAGGAATAGAATGTACTTAAGTAAAAGGATATGAATAAAAAAAGGTTGACGAAAATAGTGGTAGGAATAAAAAGAAAGAAAAAAGTTGAGGGACTCTTGGCGTAGCGAATCCTAGAGTATCATTTCTTTGACATTTGCGCATGAGAAGACATGAATATGAAATCAATACCGATACTCAAATGAAGAATTATATTCTCAAGGGAATTACATGTGGTCTGAAATGGGAAAACATTACACCCTTTTCGTAGCGAGAGGGGGACCTCATCCCCCCCCCCCCCAAAGGTTTTACTAAAACTGTGGGATTTGGTGGGAAACTCTAAAGATAAAATGCGATAAAGCGCGGGTAAAAGGTAAATTGCCTCCCCTAAGACCGAGACCTCGCTAACGCATCTGGTAAAGACATAAAAAGATTAAGGAGAAAAAAAGGAACGGAAAGGAAAAAGAGAAGGCGATAAATAGAAAGGCAAGGGGGAAAAAAGTAAGGGCGTGACACACGGAGCAATATTGCACGCAATCTTGCACGCAATGTTACTAAAGTAGGATCGTTTTCTTCTTCATAAACGCTGCGTGCAACAAAATGCGTTGTGGGACATTGCTCGCAACATCAATTGCCTGCCTCGCGCAATGTTGCACCGTGTGTCCATAGCTTTATAGGTAAACTGCGCCCATGTTTTTAAATTAATTTTAAGGAATTAACTTCTAACCTTTCGAGCAATGAGCGCTAGATGGAGCAAACAACAAACAACCAAAATACTCTTTCAAATATTTCTTCAAATAAGGTTTGTTGCGTTGTTGGATGCACATGGGAATATAAACTAGTGCGGTAATGACAGCGTATGCAAACATTAGACAAACTAGACGAATGGCTACTTTATCCAACCGACTTTTTCTTCTCTTCGCTTGGTCTCCTTGTAGAAGTTCCAAGTTCCTTATCTAAAAAATAGGTGAAATACTTATTAGGGTGGTTTTCGTGTGAGTGGGGATATACAATACTGACTTACAGCACGTACACGATACAACATGCCGCTTATTCAATTGGCTTCCCATTGTCTCATTTGATTGTACAACATCTTATTGGCAAACGATTTTAAACTCAAAAGAACTGGAATTTTTGTTTTTTTTCTTTTCGAAAATTTTTTTCCCCCAATGTATATCAATTACCGTCCAAATTGTTCCCTTCCCCTCCCCCACAAACAAATGGACATTTAATCTGGATTCAAAGTAACTTACGCTGTATAATTTGAAGACAACGAACAATAGACAGCTACAAGCAACAGCTTGACCTATCTCAGTGATCATGGCATTCGTGTAGTAAGTCAGATTTTCACTCTTGGGTAGACATAGGCGCATGTTTAATACTGTTCCATAACCTCCTTCTTTGAAGACTATGCCGACCAGTATCCATGGTAACAGGCAGCAGCATGCAGCACTGATAAGGTGTGGTATTCTGGTTGAGCGATTACGATGAAAGGAGTTGTTTGAGCATATCATCTAAACGATTGGGACATGAGAAATGTAAAAAAGTTACCTCATGCAGGCCCTTACCAAGGCGAAGAATATTGTAGAACCCTATTCTAAAACACCCTACATATTAGTAACAGTCCTAAAACGTTAAGTGTTCAACATGCAGTGAGAGGAAATTATTAGGGTGGCATAGGCCCACTCTAGGCCCCTTCCCCTTCTACAGGTCTCTCATCTCAATAACTGGATCAACATCTCAATAGTTTTTCCTTTGAAAAATACTAAAAATTTCTTCTCCTTCTGTCCAATTTAAATAGGCTAGCTGTTGTAGCTGCATTGTCAATATGCTGCCACCATACTGTGATGGGGTAATTTGCCTTACCATCAGTATATTATAATTTCTAGCTAAGTCATATCATTTATTGTTCTATACCAACTGTCAAAGTCCATTTTTCTCATACTCTGATTGGGGGAAAGGGTATCATGTGAACGTGAACAAGTTTTGATATTTCCTTGGCAACGCCTCTCAGTGGGCAACAAAATGTCGTTGACCGGTAAGACCAATACGGGAAGCAATTTGAAATTAATATACCGGAAATGTAAGTTTTTCTAAGTTTTTCAAAATCGAATAATCAAAAAATTAAGTAACTGCTTCTTGTTCTTTGGCAGCTTGTATATAACAAAACACTTATTGACTAGAACCTCGGGGAAAGCAGTGTGTTTTGTGGTCCTTCGACGGCGATGTTTCCCTCAGTCCCAGTCAATAAGTGTTAATTATTATTATTAACATCATTAGAATGATGATCAGTTACCTGAAGAAGACAGATACTGTAGACTATAAACCACATTGCCGTCACATTGGAAAAGTACTGAATCAGTAACCCTTGAGCCACACAGAAATTTGTTGGGCTTTTTGATGCCTCTGTGAAAAACTCATGGGAACAGAAAGATTCCTTTCTGCCCATGGCATTGCTGATGACGATGAGCAGTGCTATATTTAGATGGTATGAAAAATAGAATCACTATGAATGAAAACATTGAGTTTTTGAAACTGTTATACCATGAATGGGCAAAAGGTGTCAAACTGAAAATGAAGTAGTGAGAAAGGGGGAAAAGCATAACTAGGCATAACATTTCCTCTTTTGCACAAAGTTAAGAAAGTGTTTGAGTTAAATATGTTTAGACGAAGCTCTCAAATACAATTTCTGTCAATTTGAGATGAATTCTCTTCAACATTGTTATGCCTCTTATGGGTTTCCTGTGTGAAATACATCAGGGCAGAGGTTGTTTTGAGGTCTGATAAAGTTTATTGAAGGCTTTTAGCCACAAGGTTATTGCATGCTTTCCCTGAGCTCAATCATGTGCTTCTAATTGAGCTTCAGGTCACGGGGAAAAACAGTATTTTTCATATTAATCTACTGCCCATCATATGCAACTCACAAATACAAGAGGAAGTCCCTTGGATGTAGAGTGGAATAATATGAGGAAAGACACGCCTGGAAAAAAAAAAAAAATATTGATTGATAAAACTATAACTTTATAACTATGACTTTAAATTGCAAGTGAATAGATCTTTTTGACTTGGGTGTAATGTTTTCCCATTTCAGACCACATGTAATTCCCTTGTGAATATATTATTCTTCATTTGAGTATCTATATTGATTTAATATTCATGTCTTCTCATGCACAAATGTCAACTCTAGGATTCAAATAATATGGTATAACTTGGGGTCTTTTGCTGCATCTATGATTTGAATTATGTAAACTGGTACCCAAAGAAACCCAAATTATGTAAACTGGTACCCAAAGAAACCCAAATTATGTAAACTGGTACCCAAAGAAACCCAAA